AACTGGAATAGGACATCTGCCCGGATAGCAGAAGATGTGTGGTTCGAATCCCGCGAGGAGAACACCTTTTTCGTTCTGTCACTGTAACATCTAGTCCTCTTTTGCCGTTGATGTAACTCTACCTCTATCGCTTTCACGGGAATGCTATTTGATAATGCTTTAATGGATCCTAGGAAACGACAGAAAAAATTATCATTTATTGATGTCTGCTATGAGATCAGTTTAGAATGGAAGTGAAACTATATATGTTTGTTCTTCTCGAATTAAAATGAAATTCATGTATTTGACAGACATTATGCATTGAGTAAAGTGAGGAGTAGAAAAGATCACGATTAATTTTAATGAATTACGAATGAATTACATTGTTAATACTGTTTTTTTGGAATTCGAAGTCTATTAAAGATTATACCACATCAGCTGTTTCTTTTTGTAAAAGATAGGTTAAAATCAATCTAAATATCAATGCAGTTGAAAATCTATCTTCATACGATCTGAATATCTTATCAGTTCGTTCCATCTTAACTGAGCATGCTTTCACTGAGTATTTTGTTTTCCTTTCAAAAGTTTAAAATATTAGAGAAAAACTACGCTAAAATTGATGAGTATTCGAGCAATATTAAAATGAAATTGTTTGTAGCCTTTAACCAGTTCATTAAAAATAAGAGAGCAATGCAAACTCTATCAATCGATAATTTTGATGTACTTGAATCATGATGGAATCATTATTAATACAAAACTGATTACAAATGATTCAGATCAACACAGGTTGGTTACGAGCTCCATCATTAACACACAAAATAATTCATTACACTTGATGCTTATTTTAAAGTTTCTGCATAGGTTGTGATCCAATTTAAGGGTGTTAATGCACGAAATTATTTCATTTTTAGATTTTTTTACTTCTTGTTATAGATTCCTTTTGAACAATAATTAATCAGAAGTATTTTTCTAATCTATTTCTATGCATGTTTTGTGCTTCTACATATAGCTACATAAGATGATGACCTACCTCAAACTATTATCAACTGTTATCAATTTAGACCACAAATATCAAAGATATGAACAATTATTTCGATGTAAAAAATGCTGTCATTCGCTCTAGGTTTTATAAATTGCTGATAGCTATTGTTTAAAAATACTCAAATGGTACACACATAAAGTGAGAAAATAAAAATTTAATTTTAACTCCTATGTTAGCCATCTTAGTATCAGATAGAGTAAACACATAAGAAAATATGACCAATTAAACTGTGATCATCCTATTCATATTCCATGTCGATAATCCAATTTTAATGAGGTTCATGCCAAAAATAATTGGTAATACATTAGGTATGCAATATTAATCAAAACTAGGTAGGTTAACAATATATCGCAAAGACTCTATGTGACAGAATCGACAATAAGATTCAGTTAAATTCATTCATCTATTGATTTCAATCTAAATATTTTGTTTACTAGACTTTCTATGATGCTTTTTGGAAAGTCAGTTTCCATCCAACTCTACGCAGAAATTCTACAGATTCGTACTTCAAATAAGAAGTATGTACTTATCCTTGAAATTCATAAATTTTTCTCAATTAGAAAAAGGAAACATCGAATAGTTCTTATTCGCCGGATCCGGTTGTTGGAACGGCGCAATCCGGACTCCATGCCCGGTTTAAAAACGGCCAGATCCTGGCTACGTATCTAGATCGGAAACTATTCATATTCCTTCGTTTCCGATCGTCAAAAGGAAACGATCGGAAAAGTAGTCCGGAATCCTGCTGTAAATGGAAACTATCGGAAACGTAGTACGGAATCCTGTTGTAAACGGAAGCAGTATCCGCTTATCGGTTCCGGAACCAGGAGTTAGCGGGAAATACCCTGGAAACGGAGGCTGGAAAACTATTCGGAATACTGCTTCCGGAATTCGATGGAAAATCACCGGATCAGGCAGTTTCCCACCGTACGTATTTGACCTGGGTTTTTGCTATATCTGATATTGTACTGCCGGTTTTGTGTAATTTTTTCTACTCTTAATGATGACTTTGTTTGTGATAAAATAAAGATTATGAAATTGCAACTATTACCAGAATATTTAGGAAACAACCTTAGCTCATATTGATCATCAGATCAAACGAACAACTAGGAGATATTGATCATTTATAGGAGCTAATTCCAAATGAAGTTCGAAAACTATAAAGAACTAGACTAGTAAAAAAAACGGTATGGTGGCAAATCAGCGAAAAACGTTTAAGCGAAAAATTTTGAGCGAAAATTTTTGAGCGAAAATATCCTTTAGCGAAAAGTTTTTCAGCGAAAACAGTTTGAGCGAATTGTGAAGGGTAAAGTAGAGTAATCTTCAGTTTAACTTAACATAAAAAATAAGGGTGTTTTTTAAATTTAAACGAAATGTAATACATGAGCATCAAATGATATAAAAAACTACCGATTTAGAAATAAAATATTTGAAGGGTGTGAGGTGTGAGCAAATGTTGATGTTGTCCATNCACTTTTTATTTTCGCTATTATTTATTTTCGCTCATTTTTTTTCGCTATTATAATTTTCGCGCTTTGTTTTTCGCTGAAAATACCTTTCGCTATTATGATTTTCGCTCAATCGACACCATATCAAAAAAACTAGCACGAACCAGAAGAATAGATCAACATAATATCTGCTATCTACTGTGATTTTGAAGTGGTGATTGAAAAAAAGAAACAAAAAGAAAAGTTATTTTTGATAGCTCAAAAAAACAACTGCATTATGGAATAATCCGATGATTTTAGATGTGACCATCACTTCTGTGATGGTGCTTCATTATTATTCTCACATAAAAATAATTTATTTTCTTTCTAAAAGTAAAGAGTAAATATTTTATTTACTTTACAAAAGTAACTAGTAAATATAAAGTACCACCCCTATTCGAGATTGAGTTCTGCGTGCAAAACTGGAAAATTTAGCTCAACTAAAACTGTGAAGAAAAACCTTTTAATAGGAATGTTACAGTAGAGATGTCATTCTATCATTAGAAAAAAGGAAAATTTAAAAAATCTAGAAGTATTCATTTGAAGAGTGGAAATAGCTTCGTAACGGAATCACCATTTTCGTCACGAAATCACTTTTTTTAAATGTTCATGTTTTTTTAGTGTCTATTTCTTAAGAAATTTATTTATAATCCACGAAAATCAACACATTTGTATGATTCATAGAAATGTACAAAATGACTGCCGATTCCAGTCATCCGGACTCGAACCGGGACCGGGACCGAAAACATTACCTGTACCGAGGTCAGAATCCAAAAAAACTTACCTATACTATGGCTGAGACACAGACCAAAGCAAAAGTGGTCCCGCCAAGAGGGAGAAAGTGAGAGTTTCGTACTCCGGAGTCCAGATGAAGTAAAGGAGGAGTACAGTAAAGTAGCCCTAAGTTATAGTTGTAGTAAAGAAATAAAAAATATGAGTATTGAAGAAACATTGAAAATGTAAGAAAACAATGCTGCAACATGTTTCTCTAAATAGGCACAGACCGTAGATTAGTTATAATCACATGACCGCAATAAAAAATGAAATTTCCCCCGAACAGAGACCAAAACCACAATAAGGGTGCCGGGACTTCGGTCGGGATTGGGGTCAAAATAATGTTGCCCGCACATCTCTAAGTACTCGTAAAAAAGTGATCAACGAAAGTAATTTTACGTTGACCACTCTGATAAAGTGAAAACTATACTTCAAAAGTATAAGATACATATCAGATATCACCCATAAAATGGCATCTTCAATTACGGTAATAAAAATAGCTTCAAATTGTCAGAAATCAACTTCAGAATTAAGCAGTGAGGCTCTAAAATCCCATTACACTATATAAGAAATATGGCTAAGATAAAATATAAGAGAAAAAAATTTTCCTATTATTTTTAGGGAAACGTATTCGTTCAACCCAAAGGTGATTCCGTCACACTCTCTGTAACGAGCCAGGAATTTTTAACAATAGTCAACTAGTTCTGTCAATAGAGCGAACAAAATCAGCTTTAAAGCGCACATTTGTAGAATCATAAATATCTTGCTTTCGGCTAAGAATGAGTTATACCATACTTTCGTTACGGAATCACAATCAAAAGTGGACTACTTTTAAAGTATAAATATTTTTCTTCGGGAACAACAAATATCTGGATCTCTTCTTATAGTTAAAGAGCTTACTAAACATAGTTTTGAAAGATGTGGTCGACTTTGAAAAATATCATATCTGTCTGCATGGAAAAACACAAAATAAAAACTCTTGATAAATATGTATATTCATCGATACAGAGTGATACTTGTTGAAAAATATTTTTCCCCTAAAATATATACAGCTACTGAAATAAAAAATACACTTCTGTGTACTATTGATGATGCTCTACAAGATGGTTATATTTATTTTACTCAATTTTGAAGTTCAACTTTGCCCACATAGGTGGACCTTTACATGGACAGGTCGACTTTCAACTTTCAACTCATAGCGATCTATGTGTAAGTCATGATTGTTCAGAATGCTATTGGTTTAAAAGTTGAAAATGGAAATTTCCAATTTTCAATTGAATTCAAGTTTCAAGTTTGGCATATATGCTTTTTTCAGAGTACTTGTCTGTGTGATTAAATTATGTGTTTAGATTGTTGATTTTGACGTCCCATGCAACCAAATGCCAGTGAGAAATGCATGATTGAGATAGAAAATATGTAAATACCAGTGTCATATGCTCTCTTCTCAAAAGCCAAATATGAAATGACAAGCAAATATGCACCCATGCAAAAGTTTCGCTTGTACAATCGGAAGGATCGCAATTTTATACGTATTTGCTGATATGTCCATCGAAAATGGTTTTTGCATAAGTAAATATTGAATAAAGCACGCCAAGAATACGACTGCTTTATGTTTTTCTCGCTCAATGCGTTTGATACGTTCTCATCTCGTTTTAATGTCGATGAGTGTTTTTCGATTAATGTTGTTCCCAGACAAATATTGTTGCTTTCACAGCCGAATTTTGGTGTCACAGTCCACTCTTTTGCAGAATTAAAATTGAACAACCCGGATATCGTTGCACAAGCATTGTTAAGCGATGTTGCACTCGAAAATACAATATAAAAGAGTATTAAATAAAATTCATCGATTGTAAACATGCCATAACACAAGCATGTACTAATTTTGCAGCAAGTATGTATAAGATTATAACTGTACGGCTGCGGTATAAAAATGGTTATGGGCATGATCACGACTAATGAAAGGACATTGATAAGATGGGTACAGGGTCGAAATAGACACCATAAGCAATACAATTTTTTATGCCAAGAAATATGTCTTGATTGATAAATAGCTTTAGCCTGTTTTCTGGCTAATTGTATTGTCCCACTTGTCCATCGGTGTTGTTGGGACAGGTAGGCCGACACCGTCGATGGAAGCTCATTCAGGCATTCAACATCGTGCATGTATACTGAACGCCAACCTTTCGCATAAGCTCGAATTGACAAATCAAAATCTTCAACCAACGTGTCTGTACCCCACCCACCGATTTGTTCGATGATCGACGTTCGCCAAACACCACCAGTACCATTGAAACTCCAGAAGAGCGATGCTCGAAATCGACCGTCCTGTTCGCATTTGTGATGAAAATTCATAGCGATTTCTTGCATACGAGTTAAAAGTGTTTCTTTGCAATTAGTGAATGTCCAACGAGCTTGAACATACGCAACAGTTGGGTCTTGAATTAGAATGGGCAATGTTTTCATAAGGTAATCTTTGGTTGGTAAAAAGTCGACATCAAATATTGCGACGTATGCAGCTTGACCAATGTGCAACATACCATTAGCCAAATTTCCACCTTTGAATCCTTTCCGGTTCTCACGCCGGTAAATTTTTATTCTCATGCCTCTATCGGCCCATCTATGAACACACTTATTAATTACTGTTTTTGTTTGTTCGTCGGTCGAATCGTCTAATACTTGTATCAGCAGACGACTTTTTGGCCAATCTAGGCTGCAGGCGCAGTCGATGGCAGATTCGCAACAGTCAATCTCGTTCATCATCGGCAGTTGAATAGCAACAAATGGATAATCAAGTTCGCATGCTGTCGACGGCAATACATCACTCAGTTTTGGATGAACAGGAATTGTGGAACATAATCGACAGCACACGTGAAAAAGTGTCTCAATTTGTAATATAACGGTGAGAATGGTAAATACCACTATCGTATTACTAATTACACTTTGAAATATACAGTGAAAATCGCCATCATGTAGAAGAATCGACTGCTGTACATGATGATCCATAGGTGTTACTGGCACACCGACAAAAAGTACATGCGGTATGGAGCTTTGTATGTTCCGTCAAAACACCGAAGATAACGCCCAAAACTAAAAATTGTGCTTCTGGTTTTAACTACTCAGCGAGAAAGAGCATTCACTTTTATCGGTATACCCAAATTTTTACGATTTCAAACCATTCTAAAAATGTTTTTGTCGATACAGACTTTTTCACACTCTCCATTGGGTGTGTGCGTGGATGACGATTCTTTTTTGTCAGCATCTACATCCATGCCCACACCCCAGCAGTAGTCCTATTCTAAAATTCTAGAATTCTAGAATTTTAGAATAGGGCCACGTCTCTCTTGAAGGTAAAAAATAAAAATAAAATTTTCAAGAAAAATGAAAAAAGTGTCTTACCAACCCATTATCTTCTGATCATTTCCGACATGACTCCGTCACACACAGGTCATCTCGGATTAATGCAACTTTCCAGTACTCACCATGCAGTGCCTCAAAGAGCAAGTTACTTGGGATTTGAAAAATAATCAGAAAATCTCGGTTTCATGTCGATACATTAAGATGTGATAGTTAAACCGTGATTCTTTTTGTGAAAACTGCGGCTTCAGTTGTTTTATAAAAACTACATAACCGAGAGCAAGTGAGCTTTCATTTGTGGTCGTTCAGCACGTGTTTTTTTCATTGAATGAGGAATAAATCGTTCATCTGTGGTAGATAGTACCCAAGTGAGCAAAAGACTGGTTAAATGACTAGTCTTTTTTCTAGTCAAGTTGACCCGTCCCGTCTAGTCTTTGTCTCAAAAACTACTCGTCCACGACTAGTCCGAGTTTTTATCCGTCAT